CTTAATTTGCGGTTGAGAACAGCACCTGTGTTTGTGGCTGCACATCATCTTACAGGTCACGGTGTTGAGCGACGATGGTGGGTTGTTACAGTGTGCCCTGATGGCAGCTACACTCGCTCTGGCAGATGCAGAAGTCCTGGTACGTTCGTCGAAGTTGTTTGTGCCTTTTCGGATAGCTCAAGGAACATCTATAACATTTCCGCCCAAATATGAAAAGGGGTCAATCTGAAGGTTCTGGAAATTGCAAAACTAAGTATTCAGAATGGCGACAACTTTGCTTTGAAATCTTGTAACTCACAATTTTAATTTTTTTTTGAAATTTCACGAGCTCAAGCGATTGCCCTTCTGGGGCGGTATCAACCATTATCACCTAGCCAAGTGAATTGATACTCAGGTGTTGGATGTCGTGGTAGCTGCGCACGTGGCACGTATTCCTTCTGGTGAGTGGATTGTGGATCCCACTTCTGAGCAGATTGTTAGTGGTACTTCAGAGTGCACGTTAGCCTTGATGCCAAATCAAAATCAGGTTAGAGAACAAGAGGCTTTTTCGAAGAAAAAATTCTTGCTGTGTTCCAGATTACGCTTTCCTTTTTTAGATAGTTTGCTGTGATATACGAGGGGGCCACCTAACAAGTTCACAAATAGACGAGTTCATTACGTTCGCTACGGACAAAGCAATGAAGCTTTATCCGGTGTTGCGGAAAGCTTTACTGAATACGCTGTCTGTAGAGGATGCAAGTAGTTGTTAATATGAAACTTGGTAAATTCCCATAGGGGATCCGACTGTTCTTCATTGCTAATGCTGTACAGCGGTGATTTTGGTTTCATTTTCTAAACTGGTTGATTTTCACTGTATGTTGGCTGTTGATTGTTTGTTACCTTGAAGCCGCTGAGACTTTTGCAAAAGCATGGATGACCAAAGTCCATTTCTTTTTTCAAATAGCTAATCAAGAAATTATTGGTATTAAATACTTTTGCAGAATGCTCAGTTGGTCTTGATGGTGATCTGTGTCTCAAATGTTACACATGAGCTTTGTTGTCAAATGTTGTTCTTCTTGTTTCATTCTACAGATAAATATTTTCTGATTTGCAAAAGCTGCTAATCTTAATAATAATAAAGTTCTGGAAGAACATGCTGATGGCACGCGGCGATGGGAACTTGGTGGTAATAGTTGTTCTGTCGTTCATGCCTGGTGACAGTGTAGTGTACGACAGGACGAAGGAGTTCTACTGGAGCTCAAGAACAAGGAAGAAAATGTGGCAGATTGGGCAGGGTCAATCGCCCGTTGATAATTTACAACGATGGGGGGGGGGAGGGGTTCATGTTTGGATTTTGGAAAGAGGGATCGTATTCTCGCTTTTGTGGTGATAACTTGAAACAATTTAGGGGGGGGGGGGGGGGGCGTGGATTGGGGCGGAAATTTTAGAAGTGGTTTTGGGTATGGACATTCGGAAGTCATGTACCGGCGGAGAGGAGGGTGGGTCGTTTCGACGTTTTTTTTTTAAACAGTTCTAGGGAACTTTCAGAGAGGGCGACAGGCTGAATAGGCATTAGAGCGTTTAAACCCGCCCTTCCCGGTTGACTCCCATTTTGGTGGGAGAAGGGGGTGGAGGGGAGGGGTGGAAGTGGGCGGAGGTGGAGATATGGGATGGCCTCAGAATGAATACTATAGAAACAGCCACGATGATGGGTGGTGGGGTGAAAGGTCGTTATGTGTGGATATTACGCTGACGTGTGGTGTTAGAAGGAGTCGTGAAAATTGTGAAATTTTTCCCAACATCGCGAATCACCTTGAGTCAAAGTAAATCCACTCAAAGAAGACACTGGAAAACTTCGGTAACCGGTCCCGGTAGGAGGAGAGGATCGTCGTATTGAGGGTACCATGGCAAGGAGGATCATGACAGGCTTACCCCGTCTAGGAAGCAGTAGAAGTAAGAAACATAACGTTGCTTGTGGTATCATTTTGTTTTCAGATTTTAGGAAAAGGAAAATTTCAGGATTTCCTTCTGTTGACTGGCCTGCCAAATGGTCGATGGTTCGATGGTCATCGGGGGCCCTCAACGTTTTTTTTTTCAGCCTCGGTCAAACTTGAGATAAAGTTTCAAACTGTATTTTCGTAAGAAAGGCACAAGGGAACCAATGAAAAAATAAAAAAATTAATTGCACAGTTCGAAACGAGCTCTAAATTCAAAATAATAAGCGCATGTAATGGCACATTCCCAAAGGCAAAGCGCGACTGCTAGGTGCTGTAGATGCTTTGCGGCTGGCAGCAGAAGAAGCTAAAGGATGCCGGGAAAGGAATTCTTCCCTCACAGGCCGATGTCAGACTTTGCGAATCGCGCGATTCGCTAGCGTCTGCGGTCGCGTCGCGGCCAGTGAATCACTCAATTGGCTGGTACCGCAACGCGACCGCGGACGCTAGCGAAGTTGGTATCGAATAGCTACGTAGTAGCGAATCGCTCCATTTGCAAAGTCTGACATCGGCCATAGCTGGTCTGTCTTGTATGACCTATGGCAGGGGGTTCGTGCCAAGAAGGCAAGAGAACAAGAAAGGGTGGAGATTAGGGAGACACAGATATCAGTGCAGCATCATTGACAAAGCAAACACTGCGGATGGCGCGGGTTTGCGGGCAACACAATTTGCTGTCATTTACCGTGGTGCTGTGGAAGCGGCACTGCCTGTTTACTTGTGGACCAGTTTACCTCACAATCGGTCGAGACTGTGCCACTCAGATAAGCGCGGAATGTGCCTTTAAGAGTGCTACAAATGGGTCCAAGTACCGCTGGAAATAAATGAACTGACAACTGCTGTGAGGTTACCTATACCTGGTTCAAGCTGTGCGCGTCGTGGTAACTTATTGTATCACAAGGGTTTTGCCGTTCCTCGGTTTCTGCTGAACACTTGCAGAAGATGAAGCGCCTCTACAGCATGTCACGCTCATTGTCAGTGGGCTTCTGAGAGAAAGGCATGTCAAGGATGAACGAGAAATAGAAGAAAGACGAAGTGTATGAAGACAAAGGAAGAAAAGCAGGAAGAGAAGAACGTAAGCAGCCTTCAGTGGAGAGAAGAAGAAGAAAAACGGGACCGTGATGAAGGTGTGATGGTAATGAGCAATTGAAAATGTGAGGATATAGTTCGGAGAAAGAAACGGAGAAACCTTGGCTAAGGGCCAGGGAATCGACGATTGTGGACACATTGCCGTAATGTTTGTACCTCTAATAAACCGACCCTCGACTTGTTTACTCTAGTATTCGGTGCCAACTTGACCTGGGCAAAGCTCAAATAGTTAGCCAGCGAAACTAAACGCTCCTAGTTTTATTACAGATTGGCGACATTCTAAGCACAAGGGTTATGGCATGGTCAACAAATTAATTCTATGTGACGCATACGATCGGCCTCCCGTAGTTAGCCGTTACCTCCGGGTCATTGAATTCCTACAAATTCTTCAAAAATATCGGGAAAACGTTCCAAACCCTGATCATAGCAGCAGTGAGAGATTGCAAAGGGCATGTAGAACTGATGGGCCAACACGGCTGCATTTCGACTGTAAGGTACAGTATAAAGGCGGATGGCAGAAGGCAGGTCGCAGATGGGCTAAAACGTAGAGGTGGCAAAGGGAGCAGAGATGAAGAAATAACCAAACTGATACCTGCAAAGTGGAACCTTGTTTTCATCAATCATTTCCGCTTGAGGCGAGTCACATCATTGCTGATGTCACCAACGTGAGTCCTACTTTCTGTCTCTCTCATAAAACAGCTAGACTCCGACGGCGAGAATCCATTGGATGGGCGGGCAGGAGGGACGAGTGTCGAAAGCTACGGGGAAGGTTTTGTCAGGCCGTTACGGGTGTGCTCTTCACCCGCGCAAGCCACACGTTTTGCTCCCCTGTGGGCACAACATTTCTTTATAGTAAGCATTCTTTACAATAAGCATTCGCTCTCTTCTTCAATGCACAACTCAGCTGCCGTCAAAAGGTAAAACGTCCTCTATACCTGCCAATGTTCGGAGCAGCACTTGGCCATCCAGCAGCTGATAAGCCCCGTTCCACGGGTGCCCTTTGGGCAAAGGCCCGGAACGCCCCGTCACTTTAGCTAGCAACGAGCTAATGGTAAGGTAAACGTTCGGATGGAGAACCTAGAAATTAGCCTTTGCCGTTCTTCTGTGACGTCATTCTATAAATAGAAGCTTCTGCTTCGATTCATAAGACTTGATACGGCATTATAGGTTGTAGATAGCTTCCTGAGCGTCGTCTCGAAGGGTGGAGCTGGTTCAGTGGCGTCACTGTTTCTACATGCATGGTGCTTTGACGGACTCCCAGTGGGCTATTGAAACCTCGCCTTCCTCCGAGGCCAATTATCTATCAACAAATTTTTCTTGTAGAATTAACAATGGTTGTGAAATGGCAGGTCTCCAACAGTCGTAAGCGCCTTTATGAGTCAGAGTGAATTCAGGTGCGGCAGGGGGGGGGGGGCAGGGTGGAGGTGGGAGCCCACGCGACATTTGAGACTCGCACGGAACACTTCAGATTCTTTTCCTTCCTGAGTGTTTTGAGACTCTCGTAGTAGTAGTGAGTCAGCGTATCGGATTAGAATTCAAAAGGGGCAGAATGGCAAACCGGTCGCCCCTGCTGTGTTGACCTTCAACACTGAGTCACCACCCAGGTAAACATTCTATGCAGCCATTGCCTCAATGACGTTCATCTCTCGCCACGTGTGCTCTCTAATCTCTTGGCTTCAAAAGCTATTAATTTTAGAATATTTTTTACAGAAAAGATAAAATGGGTCATCTAATACGATAAAGAACTGATTTATTGCTTTGCGGTCCTTTCTTCTCGAAAATGCTGCTATTTTGCCAATGTTTCCACGGCTTTGTGGAAGGCCAGATGCATGCGTGCCACTAATTAGCAGCCGTTTACTAGTGCATAGGCAGTTTTTGTAAGAGGATCATCGGACGGCCCCAATTTGGCGGCATTACGCATTCAACTGCCTCCACCGATGAGCATCAGTGAAATGCGGGCTCATTCTGGAAATATTGATCATTTTGTTTATTTATTATTTCACTACATAACGTTAAAAATAAACATTTTGAAGAGTAGTAGAGAATAGAGGCAGTCGGAAGTCGAACAAGCCGCCCTTCTAATCGGCCATCATTGCCAGCTTTTCTGTTCACTCTTCTTCTGAAGTAGTCGTTCCTATCACAAATTGTACTGCTGATTGCTCTCCCAAGCAGTCACCTTTCCAGGTGGGAAGGGAGAGGCTGGGTGGAAGGGAAGGGAAGCGGTGAGCTAGAAAGGGGGAGTGATTTATTACCAGTTGACGGCCATAGGCTGTCAAGGTGAACTGAAATCGAATTTGACTTCGCCTTATATGTACCTGATTTGGAAACTAGCCAATTGTCCAGAATTTTGGCTACTTTTCAAAATAAATTCCTTGGAAATTGCTCTCTATTTCCTAACACCTCTTTGCGCTCAACATCATGGGGAAGCAACTCTATTAGCACGGGTGGTCGATCATTAGTTACCCATTCAGAGAGTGCCTATAGTCATGTAGCCTTTTCAAGAAGAAATTGCTCGAAAAACTTACACAGAAACGTCACATGCCTTTGGCAGGCCAATGTCTTTTGATTTGTTCAGCGAATAACTCGACGTAGCATTTTTTTATTCCCAAAGCATCCTGTCCTTATGGTTACCAACCCACCGCAGCTGTGTCAACACAACAGCAAAGCAAAGATCAGATTACAGTTGTCGATTTGAGGTGCACGCGCGGGAGCGGCCAGCCAGCTAGCCCTGTCTCCTTTATGTCCACATCACGGACCGTGTCCGCAGTGAAGGTTATTTATTCTACCTGTGTATCAGGCTTCTACATTTCATTTGTTATTTATTTATTATTCATTCTAAGTTCTTAACCTGCAGAGTGCCACCATGGCTACCCTTAGAATATCTATGAAATTAGGGAAAACAGCACGTTACTGACTGAACCAAGCAGAGTTCTTAAAATAATATGATTTTTCTGGCAGAAAATCTGACACCTGGGATGTTGAGGAGAATCCGTAGACTTATTCGAACTTCTTACACACTCTGCGTGATTGTGTAGTCAAAGGTGCCTTACTCTGTAACACATTTGGGCATTTTGTCATGGCCCGCAATAGGACTTCTCCTCCCTTCCCATTTCCCCTTGTAACACCTTCCGCAATTTCGGTCCTGCGCTGCCGGTCGCGCGGCGGCGCATCCCACACCTTGTTTTTTCCCTTGCAAAACTGTTTCTGAATCAAATCTTCTTTCAAAAACAACTCTGAGGAGCAATCGCTGACATCCCAGAAATGGCTAAAGACGTCGAAAAAGCGAGAATATCTCGGGGGACCAACAAACTTATTTTTCGTTGGCCGTCATAATTCACCTCCTAGAGCCTTGCTGCAAGCACACCAAGCTAGTATCGACAACCGACGAGTAATTGCTTTCTGAGAGGTGCACTTAATTAGCCACTCGTTTGTCTATGAGAGGTCCGTCTATTGGTGAATTATTTATGTCGGTTACCTAGATGACAACGAGGGTGTCATTGATGCTTCATGTTTTTGATCGTTGGTGCCTTAGGTTGTTGTTCGGGCATTCCTCGTCGTCTGCAAAGCACAAACAGAACACGTTTTGTTTACTGACCTTCAGATGGAGGCAGGAGGCATCCACTCCGGCCCTATTCGGTCACCGACACCCGGGAGGAAACCCTACACTGCCTGCTTGCTGCATACTACTTCTCGATCAGAAATAATTTCCTTGCAGCATTCTTGTTTTTCCAATTTTTGAAGCAATTTGTCTATGGAGGTGTAGGACTGGCAAGAGGGGCTGCCGTCATAGCCACAGGACTATCAGAGGCCCGAGTGTTTGACATCCAGCTTGCCTGAGAGATTAGAGATTGAAGCTCAGATTACCCTCGCTCGTATTTGTTCAGTATAGGTGCGCAATGAAACGCTCGAACGATTTCGGATGAAAATCAAAAGCCCGACGCTTAGTAGAGGGCTTGTTCGGAGCCGGCTGAGCCAGGTTGCCTTTTACCTTTTCATGGCGATTCTCGATAGCTTCGACCTTGACCTATTTTTATAGGCATTGTTAAGCCGAAAATTGGTTCTTTGGCTAATAATGGGTATCAGAGATGAAAAATCCCGTGGCCATGGTAACCTATAGGGATTGGTGTCTGGTCCGCATTACCGTAGCGCAGGTGACCCATTCAGAAATGTCTGCTTTACACATGCGCTTTCCTGTCGCTTTAGTGCCGTGAAATTTTTTAATAGTAAAGCAGTACTCTAATTAAAGCCTGGGAATACCATAGGTCACTCAGGAAGTCAAACTCGGGGTCACTTTGTTGAAAATTTATCTTTTGGACATCCTGTGCTCGCCTACGTCAATTATTTTTCACATACTTATACTGCAGTACTCCTTTTGTCCTCGTCGTTTGGTTCCTCGTTCTTTCCTGGTCCCAAAGCAATTTTTTGTGCCATATAAAAGCAACGATTTTCGGTCAACAGAGCAATTTAGATGTGCATCTTTTCGGCATGTGGACAGATCGTTTTCGGCTCTGTGATGGGCTTATGCTTAATTCTAACAGCAGTTGCGACATTTGATGGAAGTACGTTTGTTATGATTTCTCTATAACCCAGTGGGTCTGATATCCACAAATTAGCGTCAAAATGTGCAGGAACAAAGAAAACTTAGCAAAACTGAAGAAAATGTTGATTCTTTCAAGGACGGACAGACCTAAGTTTTGATGATTTTGATTATTTTCAAAGCCTATTTTGTCCACCGAAAGCGCCGCTTCGTTCTTTTATATGGGATTCGATCAGGGCGCCATGTATAGAGTACCAACCGCTATGGCTTTGACCCAGCTACCGACGCCCAGGAAGTCACTCAGGAAGCTATCTACAACCTGGAATACCATCTCGAGCTCTACTGATCTGGAAAGTCCAGGCAATATAATAGGAACAACCAAAATCTAGAAATGTGATACAGGAAGTTTTAAAGTCTAGGTTTAAAGGCAGGTTGTACAAAAACTGGAGCGTTGAAAAAAGACAGTGTACCATTACAAAGAAATTCTGTGCCGTGGGGCTTCTGAATCAAAAGGCAGTCGCGGCCTGGCAAGGCCTTCTCGTCCCTTTCGACACTCACCACTTGCCCGCCCATCGACTGAAAATCCCGGCTGCTGGCCCTTTGCCGCCTGACTCTAGCCCTTTTGCAGAGAGAGCTAGAGCGGAAGGGTCCACGTTGGTGACGTCAGCAGTATTATGACTCGCCCAGCGGAGATGAGCAGTAAATACACTACGCGATCAGCACTTGTTCGCGTTTACTGCCTCAAAACTTCTATTTCTGCGAGGTTCTTTTTCATTTTTATCTCCTCCTGATATTCATCATTCGTCTGATTCTGATGCCGCCTAGTGGTATTGGGAGAAACATTCGTCGTGTTTAGATGGTTAGAGGGAGAGCAAGGTTAAGGGGTAGGCAGCTCAGAAAGCCAGTGTTATGTTTTTTTTTTTTCAAAATCCCGCTCTGCTGCAAAGGGTAGAGAAAGCGGTTTCGAAGTCCCAGGTTCCGTCAAAACACGAAACAGCGCATTCCTCATTGTGTGTGTGGCTTCCAATCAGCTGTTGATTTTCAGAGCTTTTGCAATGGGACTGTTTGAATGACGAACCCCTCTGCAATCCTTATCAACATGTTAGTTTTTCATAATTTCACAAAAATCCATTTCTTTGACAATTTAAATCCATTTCAGTCGCAGAGAGACTATATGATAACGGTGGCTTGTTTCCTGTGCCTGGCCATTGTGTTTCAACTCATATCATTAGTATGGAATTTTGTCACATTGTAAGTACTTTTCGACATTTTCTATGAGATCTGACATCAGAGGTCTCTTAGTTGCATGTTTAGAAACTCATGAGTGGACTATAAACCGAGATTCATCAACCCTGAGGCGCTTTATGAAGGCCAAAATGTAGTGAATAAAATGGTCCAAGGTACAGCCCTCCCTGACGACCAAAATTTTGCGTTTTGTTTTGGATCTCACAGATTTGCTCAAAATGAGGCCAGCGCCAACAGTAGATGTCATTTTCATTACCAGAACCAGCATTAACCCTTACAGTTCGACTATTAGCAAATCCATCTAAAACCTCCCACTCCAAGCAATTTTTTCCTATCCTTCTTGGCCTTCAGGGGCCTCTCAGCGATGGTCAGTTTTGCAGTCCGAATATGATACCTTATAGCAAGCACTAAAAGACCTCCCTTGTTGAGCGCGAAAGGGCTGATCAGTAGTCACAGTGTGGATGAGTTGGACAATCCATCGTGTATGTGCGAACTTTTCAGCTTCGAACCAGGTTCCTTATTATCCCGAAAATCCCTTACTCTTTGTGTTTCAGCTGTGCGTGCTGCTGCAAAAAGTACATCATCCACCCGTTGATAGGATTATCCTTCCTCACCACCGTGTTCCTCTTTGTTGCCGTGATCGTGTACGTGGTGGCGCAGAACGATGCTCATGGTGAGGATTTTTATCAAAACTGGAAGTGGCTGAATAAAAAATAAAAGGATAAAGCATTTGCCGTTGATCAATCCCTTTTTGGGATGCGGCACGCATTCTACTTCCATTTGTACATTCGTAGTGGCGTTTGAATGCGATGTGGCCTATACAATGACTTGCGGGGGCCAGCCGTCACGACCAGGATTTGATCCCCGGACCGCTCGAGTGGTAAGCGTGCCACTTGCCACTGCACCACTTCCGCCCGAACTGGGTGACAGTTTTGCAAAACCTGAAAATTGGCTTGAAATGCTCCTATCCAGGGGTGGGGTAGAGGACAGTATTCTAACGTCAGAAGGGGGGGGGTAGCTAGGAGTGAAAGGCATCAAAAATCCGATTTCACAGTTTTTCGGCATCTGACTCCCATTGGTGCGTACGGGCGAGAGCTGACGGTGCAGTTTTTCATTCTAGTGGATCCCTCAGACGTTTTTTTGAGTTTTCGATGAATTTCCTTTTCAGACCGTCAGTTCATCGATTACCGAAATGACGAGTATGGCTACTCGTTTTGGTTGGCAGTGTGCGCTCTGATACTAGCAGCTATCGATACGATCGTGGCAGGATTGACAGTGTGTCTGGGAACTCGAGGGCTCTGAGCACGGAGTTCTTCTTTTCGTAATACTACCAGTTAACTGCCAAAATAGCACGGCGTAGAATACCATGATCATAGCAAAACAGGTGCTTGGAAATCTTCACAATTCCATTACATCCTAGTATCTCTCGCGTAATCAATACACTTACATTCCATTTTGAGCGGAGACTTCCCACTATTGCAATACTTTCCTATTTACGTTTTGCGTCCACACTCTGCGAATGCGCAGCCAACTGTATGAGCAAGACCTAAAGGCAGTGATGAGGCACGATTTTGATGACGTCATGGATGAAGTGTGTTAGGAGACGTTCTCAGCCACACCCACAAGGCTCTCAGGGTCTGGTGCACCAGTGCTGCTCAGTGACGTCATCAGAACCGCACCGCTCTCAAGTCATCGTGATTACTGCCTTTGAATATCGATTTTTGCGCATCGCCACGCATACAAAGCATAGACTATGACGCGTTGCTCATCTCTTTAAGCTCCCTCCCATTGCTACCCATGTAAGCCAAGTACAGGCTCGCACACTGCACTCCTTCAGCTCCGGGTTAAGAAAGATCACCCCTGACACCTCGCTGTGAGGGTCATTGGTGCCCTCATTACGAATGTGATATTCTTTATCGTGTCAGAGACAAGAATGAATGACGACAGGTAAAGTTTCAGCATTTTTTGAGGTTTGGGGTTGATAGCGGAACCAGCCGCTAGCTCTTTCCATCCCGGCCTGCAGGGGGAAGCATAGATCCATGGACGGACGCATAGTGTATATTTCCCTCAGCAGTGGGCGCGAAAACATTACGTAAGCCACATTAGGGTTTGCGGAAATCGGAACGTAGATTTGCCGCGTCAATGGACAGCCACTTTACCCGTCTCCCCCATCTTCAGCTTTCATAAACGCAATTCCTTGATTTAATGTTCATGTCTGTATTTTTCAACACGTCACGTAGTATGCTGTGTTATTCCTCCATTGAATTTTGCACATGTGAATGCACTGATCCCAGCATTTGATATCTTGTACATTTATAAATGGGCGCAATGGCTCGGGGGGGGGGGGGGGGCAGTCGCCGCGCGCGATCTCTGCGTTTTTCTGTGTAAGCATTTCCTCTTCGCTAAATCGGGACTAAGCCTCGGGCAGGGAGGAGGAACTCCAGGATCATAGCAATTTTCATCTTCCCAAAGTTCCTGCCCACTCCTAGGCTTAGTACTACAGGGCGCGGACGAGCAGAGATCGCGCGGCGACGGACCCCCCTCCCCCTCCCCGAGCTACACTGCGTCTGTAAATGTTTACCTGTATTATGGATTTTGCAACTAGTGAACAGAAAATCCTCACGAAATCCTCACTTATGTTCCCTTTCGTTTCCTATGGCTCAGAGATGAGGTTCACTCGAAACCAGACATAAGTTCACGAAGAGGGGCGCTGCGAGAGCGTAGTTGTTCGACGGGTCGGTGCTTACTTATTTGTACCACAGACGATCCTCCCCTACTGCAGAGCTACGACAAGCACCTTTTAAGCGTTTACCAGGCCTTGAGCTAATCGCCACCACTAATTTGAATTGTTTAGCTGTTTACTAGCTCATGCTCTTTGTGATCGCGAATTTCGTTTTCAGTGCTTCTTCCGTTGTAGATAGGTCATGATTTCTTCAGATATCGCTGTTTGGTCATAATCACCTTTATAAAAATCTGTTTATATCCTGCTGATGATTTATCGATAAAATCGTTGTCATTGATCGAAATGCTCGAGGAGCTCTTCTGTCTCTCCTCACAACATCCATAGTATTCAAAAAAAGAACAATACAAAAGTTGTCCACACTCCTTCGTTCTTTTTTCCCGTAAGTGTTGCAGCACCTTTCGCTTGGCGAAAGAGGAGACCAGCAAGACAGACAGAAGATTTTTTGGAAGATAATTCTACGTAATCGTACGGCGACACCTCCACCCTACCCGTTGACTTAGCCACTTACCAAAGAGAAAATGAGAGAAAAAGCGTTACGTTGAAGATGGCGCATCTGTGAGGTCGCTATCAATGCTAAATCAGCAGTCAAGAAGCGTGCCATTTCCCAATCTAGCGCTTTCTCGTTTTTTCTCATCCGTGACATGACCCCACGTAATAGATTTTCAGTGCACTTTTCATCCACCACACCGATTAAGTGACTTGTACTTCTGGAGCGCTCCCTTGCGAGTCAATTTCTACTAGGAATGGTATCTACGTCATACACTAATAGTGATCCATCGTTCATATAGCTGATTTCGAAGTAGATTTACAAGTTCCTCTGAGCTCAACCTGATCAGTAGAACTCTCAATAGTATGAGCAATGGTCGCTTGGACCATCGCTAACCTAATTGACCTTGAGGAATACCTCCTTGTTCATGGGTCTCTTTGTCAAGTCTGAAGATCTCAGACATTGTATAGGTTGCAGGTGTTTGAAGATTTATGTTGGTAAATAAGAACAGCACTAAGGAATCCTTTCGCGGAAAATTCTTGCATTCTTTTCTCAACATGAATGTATCAGTTGTGATCACTAGATGCAATACACAAAATTTTACGCATGAAGGTTCGGTCTCCGAAGAGCAACAAACTCACGAAAATCCATTCTATGGACATCGAGGTAATTCGGGCGGAGCCAAATGCGGGGCATGGAATAAGTCCGCACTGGGGCGCCTACGTATCAGGCGACGCAATGAAAGAATCGGGTTAAAGCGTGCGATTTCGGAGAGTAGAGACACAAAGCTCGATCGATAGAATAGGATGGAAGTAGAAGTGTGAGATGTGAATGCAATAAAGTCAAAAGCCAGACTTCTAGTGAAGGTACTCCGAGAACCAAGTGGAAGCATCCCCGTCACCAGCATTTGTGAAAGACGTCCGTGGGCACTTTGAACGCGTAGCAGCCCTTTCGATTTTTCGAATTTTTTTTTACCAAAACAAAAGCAAAGTTCTGTTCTTTTCATTCTTATCGTGGATAATGAGTCTCAAGCCAGTGATTTATGGCTGAAATAGAATCATGATTTTTCGTGAAGGATTCCCTTCACTCGAAATAATCCGCAGGTGAATAACTGCCTGAAGTGAAGCTGACCTTGACCCATGAAAAAGGCGCTTGTACATCCGTTTGGCCCAGCTCTGTAATCAATCATGCCCAAACTTCAGACATTTCGAGCGCTCAGTCAGCTTTGCCACTTCTTCGATTCCCTTGTTTCTCTACACATATATCTCAAAATCAGAACAATTAATAAATCAGCCATAGCCAAATGCAGAAGAACAACGGTCATCTCAAGAATTCTTGGCCACCCAAGTCTGCTGAGAAAAAGCATTTCATACGCATTACTACACGTTTTTGTACTCGGACTCGGTGGATAATACTGAATTTCATATCTAAAAAAGTGGCTGAGAACCTGGAGATTCGTTCAGTTCCATGTTCCTTTTCCAATCGCCTATCCGCCGGAGTCACTTGATTACGATTTTTTCAATTGTGCGGCGGCTCCTCTCTTAGTGGCGGTACTTCAAAGTAAACCGGTTACTGAGTGAACTTTTGAGCAGCAAAGCGCTCATTTTTCTGATTGAATGACTATGTTTCAGGGAGACGCGCTTTTCCCAAACAATTACAGCCGATTTCCTTTCTCGTAGTTATTTCCTTGCTATTATTTCGGTATAGAAAGAATCCACCGGCGAAGAAACTCTAGAAGCTCCCCTCACTGGTTTGTAAGCATAATTTGTGTTTTCTTTAGAGATTTAGGGGCTGGAAGGCTTCGTTCCTGGTGAATGCTGGTGCAATCTTTCGCCATAACAGTGTTCCTGTTCGTCGCTGTGATCGTGCACGTGGTCTTCTATAAGGAAGAACTTGGTGAGTTCAAATTCACAGTGTGAGAAAGTGAGTGCTCGGCCTTGATTGACTGCGTTGGGATACGCCACGCATTCAACATCAATGAGGTTAAGAAGATGTGTAGAGTTGAGCAATTTTTTCCTACACAATTTATAATGAGAGTAGCTGGAGTCCAGGCAAGGCAAGCCTCTGTTTCCATCTTTATGGAGGCATTGAAAATATCAAAATATCTTTGGTTCAATGGTGAGCGGATATTAAACACCGTTACTAATTATTT